AGAGACGCTGTCCCGGGTGGGGGAGGCGTCGGACGGCTGAGCTTAGAAACGTGTGTTGGCAGCGTAGAAACGTGTTAGATGATGCTGCAATCAGGCGAGTTTTATGCTAGTAATGGCATAAAGTCAGGCCCTTCCTGAAAAGTCTCACCTGTGCGGTGTAATTGCTGTGCCATTGTGTTGATGCTGTCAGGAATTATGCTCTAATAAGTAATTTCTATATAAATCAAAACCAGTCAGATCTGACCAAACCCTGCCGAGACCGGTTGTCTGCTTGTTTCCAAGCCTAGCCACGAACAAGGGTTTTGCTTCTTTTCCCGAACTACTTCAAGAACATATTGACAGCTGAAGGCAGTCAGTTGTGAATTCCTGTATTGCCATAATCTTACAAGAGTAGTGCAAGTAAACGGGGTAAACATTCTGTGCTGTTAGTCATTAAATTGTAGATGTCAAGGGTAAAATGTGTTGCTGTTGAAAGTAGAGCTTTTTTCTTCCACAGAAGAGAAGCGCATAGAAAGTTCCTTTTGTTTTGGAACCTCATGTCTTAACTAGACTGAAATTAAGCAGTGTCACTGTTCTAGCGATGTTTCTCCTCTGTGTGATGCTGTCTGAGGCCCCAGTACCCATGCGTATTTTTAATCAAGGCAATGTTGTAACTTTTTTTTTTAAAAAGCTGGCATAAAATACATAGTAATTCTAATTCTGTGTAGAAATATACACAATGGCATGGTAGTATGAACATGGTTTTTGCAATACACTTAAAAATTACATGAATGTGTTATGTTACTAAAATTATTTATTTTAGGCACCTCCAAAAGCCATACCAAAGACTATTGAAAATCAGAGAGTGTATGATGAAACAACCGTAGATCCCAACGATGAAGAGGTAACTGCTTAATTTCTGCATATGCTCTTAACTATTTTTTCCAAGAAAGGACATAAAATGGATTGATGAAACTTAACGTTCACCACTCTGCTGTTAAGGTGCTGATGAATTACTTCTTACACGTGATGGGCTCACTAAGAGGTGATGTCATTCTTTCATTATCTACATTAGATAATTGCCTTTTGCATTACCATCATTGATAGCAAAAACTGTCCATCAATGTTCATCACACTAAATTCTTAAAAATGACAGGCCTTGTGATAATTATAGGATAGAGCTTGTGAACTGAATTTTTTCCTACTAAATTCAATTTCATCAGAATTTAGATCAGATTGAATAGTTGATGATCTTCAATTATTATATATATGGTGGATTAACAAGACTTTTGTTCTTCCAGGTTGCTTTTGATGAAGCAACTGATGAATTTGCACCATACTTCAACAGACAGACAGTTCCCAAGATTCTTATTACAACATCAGACAGACCTCGTGGGGTATGTGTGCTTTAATTGGAGAGTTCTGAGCAACCTACCGGTTCTAAGACAATAAGGTTTTCATATTATGATTGGTAAATTAAAGCTGAAAATAATAGTTTTCACATGGATTTTTTTTTTTTTGGCTGTTTTATTTAGTGACTATCAATAACCTCATACATGTATGTAATCTATGAGTTTCTCTAGCACTGTTTGTTTCCTTCATAAAAAAACCACAAACAACTTCATGCATATGTTCCTGTGTGCAAATGATCTGCATTACCTAACTGGGAAATTACTGACACTTGTGAAAGCCATAAAAGAAGTGGTTTTAAAAATAGGAAAAAGTATGTCTTAAACTGTTTATTTGGAAACTCAGACATTAGTACCTGAAGTAATCATTATATTGTATTTTGAAATGTTATGAACTTGTTGTAAACCAATGTCCTTAAGAAATAATGAGTTTGGGGGTTATGCTTTTGGAATTTTCCTGTTTTTCTATGATTGAGGGAGGGGAAAAAAAATCCTTTAAAAAAAAAAAATCCCTGGTGTGCTGCAGTCTACTTTAAATATTTTTTTTCCACTCGCTGAATGAAGTAATTGAATAGCTTGTCTTCATATGTTTATATAGATAATGGATTTAATATATCATCAGGGAGGGCAGTTGGAACAAGCAACCCTCCATTCACCTAATATTTGAATTTGGCACTGTATTTACCACATTGCAATTTAACTTGCCTGTTTTGCAGAGAACAGTGAGATTCTGTGAACAACTGTCTACCGTTATACCTAACTCGCACGTCTACTATCGAAGAGGACTGGCTTTGAAAAGAATTATTCCACAGTGTATTGCAAAGGACTTCACTGATTTAATCGTCATTAATGAAGATCGCAAAATACCAAGTATCCTTTTGTGTGTTTATTAAAATAGATATACTAGCTTTGGGCCTGTTGGGGAAAAAAAAATAATTCTGCAGTGTGCATCGAAGATCGACTTTATTCTGGATTTTTATCTTTTCCCTGTGCAGCTTACAGTGTAACTATAGAGTTAAAAATCACTGTGCCAACTTGAATATCTGATGGCTAATGGAACTTGGAATTATTACAGAAACTGTGTTGGCTTTTTTTTTCTTTTTTTTTTTTTTTAGTTTATAATGCATGGATAAACATTGTTATTATTTCAGTAAATTTAACAGTTTGATTAATTAACAAGTTTTTTTCTGACCAGGAAGTTCCATTTAGTTTTGCTGACTAGATAAAACGTTACTAATTAATAAGTGAGAAAGAGATAGAAAATAACTCTGGTTAGCTATTGAAACAAAATTTAATGGACATGCTTCAGAACACTAGTTTATGAATGTATGTTCAAAAGTATAATGAAACTTTGTAAATCAAGCATAGATTATGGATATAATATTCTAATGTAATAATGCATTTTGCAGAAAATGTTCCTCTGTAAATTGCATGTTGAATTTTACCAGCTTTTTTTTTTTTAACTCCATGAACAGATGGTCTTGTTTTAAGTCATCTGCCCGATGGTCCAACTGCTCATTTTAGAATGAGTAGTGTCCGTTTGCGTAAGGAAATAAAGGTGAGACTCCCAACAAAATCGGAAAAATGTGTAGTCTGTTGTTCAAGACTACTTGAACTGTCAAAACTTGGTTGCACTTTTGTACGATTCAACTGATCTTGTAAAGGTATTTTTTCCTAAGCTAACAGGAGGCAAAAGACTAGTCTACTTCCATAAGCAGCATATTTCCACTTTCATAGTTATTTGGTGAATTTCTTTAACTGTCTGTCAGGTATTTTTATAGTCATGCCAATAAATAGCAGCTGATAACCTACATCAATAGGAAATTGGTATATATATACACACAATAGGGTATGTAAAAATCGGCAGTATAAAAGATTTCAATAGCTGTAGTTCCTAGTTTTGAATAAACCCTAGTTTTTCTTATTCCTACAGCTCTGTCACCTCTTCTGTAGTAAGTATTGCTTACTTAACCCTAAATAACTTGCAGTGAAATGTTTGGTTTTTTTCTCTTTTGAAATAAGTAATTTTTAAACTTCATCTGTTTTTACTAAAGAATCCCATATACTCTCAGTCAGTATTAGTACAGAGAGGAGACTCCTGTGATCAGTAGAATGCATTATTTGCTTTAAGGGATGCTGCCAGGAGTGGAAATTGGTGCAGGAGAGAGGAAATGTAAAGTCATTTATTTGTGCTTTTTCATTCAATTTGTATTGTTGAACCGAAAATCCTATGTTACCAGCTGCTCCTTTACTAATATAGGAACTTAGGTTGTGTTTGAAAAAATTATTAGGATATGTTATCAGCCCTGTTAGAAGTTGGCCCTGGTTGTCTTCCCCCAATTTTAATTTGAACTCTTCTTTGATAATACATTAAAATTGTTTTGCATTCAATCTATTCTTTGCATTCTTATCTACTACTTTCATTTCAGCGAAAAGGGAAAGAGCCCACAGAACACGTACCTGAAGTAATCCTGAATAATTTTACAACACGACTTGGCCATTCTGTTGGTCGCATGTTTGCTTCTCTCTTCCCACATGATCCTCAGTTCATTGGAAGACAAGTAGCTACATTTCACAACCAGCGAGACTACATCTTTTTCAGATTCCACAGGTGATGTTTTCCACAAAACTCACAAATGAGGGAGAATGTTCTTGTAATTTCCTTCCTAATTTTTCTTTTCTTCTTCCCTCAGATATATCTTCAAGAGTGAAAAGAAAGTGGGGATTCAAGAACTTGGGCCACGTTTTACATTAAAGCTGAGGTCTCTTCAAAAAGGAACCTTTGATTCCAAATTTGGAGAATATGAATGGATTCATAAGGTATGTCGAAGTAATGGTACTAGTCCGGCTTGGGAAGGGAGACTAAATCTGACGTGAAATGGAACCACAGATCTTAGCTTAAAAAAGTGGCATAAACGCAGTTCTCAATACGGAAGTGTTTAACTGAAATATTTAGAGGTATATTTTGAGAAGTATGCAAAGCAGAAGCATTCTGCTATATTGCAAGTCAAAAATAAATATAGCAAGGATGATGAGTATCAATGAAGCATTGACTACTTAACTGCAGAATGTAATTTCTTTAACATAGACAGATATAAGCAAATGTGAAAACTGCTCCCCTGGTATAAGGTATTGTCGGAAGCCTAGTAAACTTGACTAGAGCTATTTTTGTGCAAGGTGAGTGCAAGAATCATAATGTAAAAACTATGAAGCTGTTTACATATATGTCACTTCAGAGTGACTGGAAAGTAACACTGACCTCTGCACATCTTCAAGTGAAATGGAAGTGGTACTCTAGGCAATGATAAAATCATTTTTACTACGGAATTGCAGTTGATTAGTAACCAAGCTATACTGGAAGGAAAATTCTAATACTCCTGGTGTAGTCCGTGAAATGGATGATCGTGTTTGTTTTAAAGACACTTTGTCTCCTGTCAGTAGACAGAGAACTGCTACATGTTCTTTAGTTTTAAATAACTAATTCTTCTCCCTTGTTAGTCTTGAAGAGCTGACTATAAAGACTTGACTACGCTAACTCTGACACATTTCACTGCCTACCCTAAACGGGAGTGGTCATCCTTGTTTGTATCCTGTTGCATGAAACTGCTGGTTAATAACTTTTTTTTAACATTTCAGCGCCGAGAAATGGACACAAGTAGAAGAAAATTTCACTTATAAGGGACAGCTATGTGCCAGTTGCTACTGACCAGAAATACAACAACTGCTTTGAGCTATGGATCATCTCAGGCTCCTAACTAATGATACTGAACAGTATCTATCTGCAGAAAGACAAATTGCAAACATTGAAACTTTCTACAGGAGCAGATCAAGTAGGATGGCACCTTTCTTCCTATGTTTGTAGCTAAATCCAGCACGACAAGGACAGTGACTTTTCTTCCAGTTTGGCAGGAAAAACTATGGCAATGTCAGAGCAGCCTGTAATTTACCTATCACTGAAGATTTGCCATGACTGCTGCTGTGCTGTAGAGATAAATTACACTTTGCAACATCAAAAACAGTAAATATTTTGGTTAGAGATATTCTCATAATAAAGTATTTCTAATTATACAGCTTTTTTCTGTTAAGCAGCTTAAACCCAGATGTCTTCCATTAATCAGGTAAGGGATGAGTATTTTAAATCTCTGACTAACTTACAGTATGCCATTCCCCAGCAGTATGGTGATAATTTTCCAAAAATGGTCTCCTATCTAGAGAACATTGAGAAGGCTGAATGCAATCCAGGAAGTCTGTGGTATTTTATTTCATTAACATCTTGCATAAAATAGCCATGTTTCTGAAGTTACAAAAATAACATGCTTGACTCCTACAGGTATCTGTTCTGTAAATGTCATATTTAGAAGAGATGTATACCCAAAGCAGTCAATATTCTTGTATATAAAAAGAAGTAAACACCGATGGGAAAGAATTCATAAAGCCAATTTACAGGAAGCATATAAATCTATCTATCTCATCTAAAACCCTGCTCAGTTGAATATGTGAGGTCTGAGCAGGGTTTTTCCCATTAAAGTCTTAAAACACTTTTTCAGCTTCATAGCTATACTTAAGTGGTATTACCTGCAGAATAAGCTACTGTTCTACCTTAAGTTTGCATGTTCACAGGCAGCTAAAAAGCTGAGTTTTCTTTGAATTACTTTCTTTTCCTATGCAGTGCTTTTTCACATTTACTTAGAGTAAGGTGCCTCATAGAGTAAGTCATCTACTAGGGTAGAATCACTCTTTAAGATAAAGAATAATTAAGTTACCCTTTGTCTTGATTTAATGTCTGTGATGTGGAACAGCTGTATAGTTGAACTTTTTTCCTGCTTTATTTCTATTCCTCTAAGCATAGTACTGATGAAGCCTCATTGTTCTGTAAGACTATCAACCCAAGGTGAACTCGCACGGAATATTTAAACATAGACTCCTGTATATGCTCTCCAGCTGCTGCAGAGTGATGCAGAAACTGGTGAGGTGTCAATGTATCCAGAAGTTTATCAACTAGTTACAGTAATTTATTTCAAGACCAGAGTAAGTCAAGACACTTTATTTTTTTGCTTGGCATATAAAACTGATTCCCTTATGAAACAGAAGTATTGTAACTAGCATACAGTTCATTTGGAGAGGTAGATGGTAAGAGGTTTGACAACAGTAGCAATTTAACAGTTAGATTTGGCACGTTGAAGCTAAGCTTTTGTACAGACTTCAAACCAGGCCGCTCCTTGAGGCACTCTGCCCCTACACACATCAGCAGCTAGGAAAAAGATGCTAAAAGATCTGAAAAACAAAAACAAAATGCAGTTAGAAAAGTATCAATGCCAATAAAGCAACTCATACCTTCAGAGTATGCCATGGACAGCTATTGAGGAAAAAAAAAATCCTTTTTTTTCCACAGCTGTTTTATAAAACTATTAGTTTATAAAGTAAACTTTTAAAACCATGAAGCTATCCCCAGGAGTACAAGAAGATAATCAAAGCTGTTACAAAAGAACTGAAGCTTAGTGTCTCGTGGAAGCCAAACTGCTAAGTGGAAGGACAGATTGGTGCCTACAGAAATACCAGGCATCTGCTTTGCCTTTGAAAAGCAGAGGGAGTCTGTCTAACTAATAAATTACACTTCCTCTTCACGCCACAGAGGTGGTGCTGACTGTGCAAACATGAACTCTGTTGGCTCATCACAAAAACACCAGGATTACAACTAAGAAATTGCCTATTTTGAGGAAGTGCTTGCAAGAGATACAGTGAAGGAGAGAAATGCTCCACGTAGGTAGTGTAACTAAACCTGCTGTTCTAATGACTTTAGCAGGGGGGTTGGACTAGATGATCTCTGAGGTCCCTTCTGACCCCTACCATTCTGATTGTGTGACTTTTGCCTGTAACATCAACAGAAACAAGTGCTCTGTTCCAAAATCAGAAAGGGAAGATAAGGGCTGTAATTGAGAAAGAAAATATTAAGCCTCTTATGCCCTGTGTATGCACACATGCGTGTGAGACACTGGAAACATTATATCCTGACATCCACACCCAAGAATTAGTAGACTTTGGCAAAGTTAAGTGAGGAACTGTGTGTGTCACTGATTAAAGTACAGTTTATTTGGCTTTTTAAAGGTCATGAGGCTACAACACTTACAGATTATTTCTTCCTTGAATTACTCCTTAAAGCTGAAGCTACAGTAGTGTGAACACAAGTCAGTATCCAAGAGTAGTATATTTTAAATAAGAATAGTTGATAAAATTCACAATAGAAACAACTTTAAAAGCTGCAAGAACTCTTACAGCACATTTCAGTTACACTGCTGTATTTTATTGCTCAAAACAATTGGCGAAGTGTGTTAAATAGTTAAGCATCAACCTCTATACTGTTACTACTCTGGTCTTTACTACCATGAACCACCTTGCTTATATACAAACTCTTTGGAAGCTTTCTACAGTCTGCCTGAGGGGAGAACAATTTTAAAGAATAATTTTAACATCACCTTTCTATAAAGGTGCCTAAATAACACAACTTAAATCTAGCAAACTACAGTTCTTTGGGTGATGCAAGTCAGCTACAAAAACAGAATTCTTCAAGGTTAAGACTTGCTATGAGATTTCTAAGGATTGTCAGCTATGGTTAACTGCGTATCAGGTGCTGCAAAATAATGTATAGGCTCTCACCCCTAACCGATCCAAGTCAAGGAGCATGAAGGAAGAGGGACACAGTAAAATTATCATGCATTTACTGTGCACAAAATATCAAATTATTGTGGCTTTCAGAGTCATGGTGAGACTACTGTGGATCTAAACTGCGCCCTTCTATATAAGTTAGTCTAAAATCTAATCATCAGAATTTTCAAGGAATGCCAGATTAGTAGTCTTCATAATGGTAGCAGTAGTGTTAACGAGCCTATAAAAGTTTTGGAATGAAAATCCAAATGAGCATTCAACTGTTTCTAGTTACGTAAACTGCTACCCATGTAGTAGCTTATTTGAGTGGAGTACGGGCCTTTGTACAATTGTTGGACTACATACTTTTTTCTTTTGGCTTAAAGTGTGTATCCTGTAGGGGACAGTGGTCTTTGAGACCACCACTAACTTATCTTTGGAAGTGTGCTTTATCTGCCACAATCAGGATTCACCGTGTGTGCTGTTATGCGAGTAATCCTATGTGAGAAAATGGAAATCATACCCTTACACAGAAGATGGAGCAGAATTACTGTACAGCCAGGTTAGTCCCAATAGCAGCTCAGTAGTAGCTAGCCCCACTGCTACTTTGCTGCAGCAACAGAAACTGGTTGAAGCTCCACACCAGCTAAATGCTACTCGTACTACTTATGAACAGCATGTGTCCAATACAGAGCTACCACCGGAACAGGGGAGGAGGGGCCCAAAGTGGGGATCTAGACCAACACCAGCTGCAGAAGTCAGACATCTCTTCTGAATACTTTTAATACAGGCAGTCTCATTTAAAACCAGCTATTTTTAATGACAGAACAGTTTATAAATCGTAATTCAAGAACTTACCACTGAAAGCTATCAAAGTAGTTCACGTAATTACAAAAATGAACAAACTTTCTGGGGTCTGAATGGATTTGTACTTGATGATACTCCTGTCAGTAGGGGATCATGTTGTGCATTCTGCAGGCAGAATTGCTTCAAGTCTGCTGCAGCCTGAGAAACCTAGTCATAATAAAAGTTGGCATTAGAATTCACTGAACACTCTACTGAGGACATAGCTACTTGACAAGGTATAAAGAATGCTGTTAAAAGTATTGCAATACAGCTTACAGAGGTTTTATACAACAGTTTGATCATAATTTTTTTGTTTCTTAAAGACAAGAAGTTGCGCAATATTAGAATAAGAATTAATTTGGAAAATTTTCATGTTAAACTTCAAAGCATGAAGGGTGAAAGATAAGCAACATCTCAGAGATGACTTTGTTAAATATATGAAGATCCTTGTTCTAGCATAAATTGTTTAAAAATACAACATACAGTTTAAGATGCTCTACTCAACTAAACTAGCATTTTATCATCCCTTGGAAACCCATCGTTATGATGAGCTAGTATATGATGGGGTTTTTGGTAGGCTGTACCTACCTAAAAACAGAACAGTGAAAAAATTACTTGTTTTGCTTCTCTTTGCTGTAACTCTGAACTCATAAAAAAGACAATCAAAGTTTCAGAAAGCAGCATCCTCCCTGGTATCTAGTATTTGCAATTCGTCTAGAGTTTCTCTAATTTGACAGGGCCCGGTCTGACCCCGAAAATGCCCAAGTTCGGTGCACTTAGCACGCCTTGCAGCCAAGTCTCCATTTTACAGTATCAGGGCCAGGCCAGCCAAGGCAACCTGTGCTATAACCCGACTCGAGCTGCTCTTTTCACCACAGTTTGATGGAAGAAGACACTCCCCAGAATAAGGAAATGAAAGGGGAGAGCGGG